TTAAAACAAGCTGTACAATCAGGTCAGATAAAGTGGATAGAAAAGTAAGACACTACAAGTTTACGGAAAACTTCTGGACGTCATTGGCCTGTTTTCTCAGACGTGCAAGAAACCTAGCGATTATATCATTTCTGCCCGCAGGATTGTCCAAGGGCTCGACTTTTCATTTTTGAAGTAATAGATCATGGCTATGCGGTTTAGAGTCACATTTCGTGATCTTTCGCCGGCGCGGCGTCTTTTATGGTGGGTCTTTGACCACTGAAGCACCGTACCATAGATGGAGAGATAGCGAAGCAGTGTTCGAGAAATCGTTATATCAGCACTTTCAGCGTTCATTTGTATTTGTACTGAAGCTCTGCCAAGTAACACACAAGCTTTGAGCCAAAAAGCCCACCGTTACAATACCGGTAAAAAGAAACAAGAGAAAAGCGGAACATTGACCGTGCAAAATACAATGTATATTTCACACACGTCTGGTTCCAGGCTGTGTGCCCGACAAACCATAGTATAGTAATCGTTATGAAAAGAAAAAATCGAATGATTTGCATGTGAGCGGAATACCTCTAGGTTGCTCAAGTCAAGGCAGGTTAATCTTGGGGAAGTTACGGTCGGAGCCTTCGGCTAACCAAAACCTGACCCTCAAGGTCGGGGGCGACTTGTGAAGACGGCAATCCATTCTGGGCTAGTGTCCTGTTCGTCGGATCATAAGCTCATTAGAGGGAATCAAACGTCCATGGTACCCAATACACCCGGTGACCATCTCCACAACCAGGAAAACATAGGTGTTTTTTAAATTTTTTTTATCACACTAGTGTGATGAACAGTAGATGGGGAAATCCCTATGGTCGCAAAGACCTGCTGTTCGGTGATGGAAACCGGTAACCTAAACCCCGAGAATTAGAGTGGTGAACCACATACGGCCCCTCTAGGTTAGGCGTAGTATTGAACTGGATGGCTTCTTTGTATCGGGCACACTAGCATTTCTTTTGTGTTTGATATTCGGGATTGAACTTCAAATTCGTGCGCTTTTGTCAGATGAATATATTCGTAATATAGCAACATTAAATTCATGGGGCGCTATACAGCTTGAGAGAGGGATAATTGTTTAGCGGCGTGTGTGGGTGTGTGCAGATTTTCACTAGTCATTTAAATGAATCACTATATGCGACCTTACTACTTCCTGCTCAGCGTTTGATTATCAAACTTTCTTCTTTTTTGTTGATCTACGGGTCGGTCTTCTCAAAGGTGTGGTATATGTACAAACGATAAACACGAATGTTTGAAATGTTTGTGATCCATCAGAGAATCCTCTAGAATCTGAAATTCATCTAGTCTTTTGCGTTTTGGAGCATTTTTTTGACCGTTATCATGCATTCGGGTACAACTTATAATGAAAATCGTAACAGAAGCCGAAATCAGATTATTTGGCAGACATTGATTAAAATAAACCCAGTTTGAGTTAGTTCTGTCCCTTTTCTGTAGTAAGAACATACTTCATTTTCAAAGTGGCAGGCAGCTTACTTGAACGTTTATTTTTCTTCGTAAAGTACATTGTCGTGAATATGGAGTCCCAAAATGAATTGACGGCGTTGATCCAATGAAAAACATCTAGAATAACTTAATGCTTTTTAACTTCGATGATTGAACACAGGAGTACATGACAGGCATATCTGATGGATTGCAACAGCCATGAAACCGATCATCTGCTTCCGGGGAAATGCTTTCCAGGTTTTCAGTAACTATTCACTTATAAAGTGTCTAATGTTCGAACTGTTTTTTCGCAATAAGTTAACGATGAGTTCAAAGCCTTTGTCGTTCGCAGTTTAATTACTTAAACTTCTTAACCGTTTATAGAAGTAACTTTCAAATAGTTTATCGGTTTGTTTTTTCCTTCAGCATAAAATAGGCGTATTCAAACCCAAAGATGAGGAACCATATGGACACTTGAATCCCAAATGGACTAAATGGATGCACAAGCATTGCTGTCCCTGTTGTTTCGGCCGTTCGTGTCTGGTCCCAAATCAAGGTTACCTCTCAGAAGCCGGTGCCAGTCTAGTCGATCAGCGTCTCAGACTGAACATTGTTCCCACTACCAAGGTAATTCTTGATTTTAAAATGGTGGTAACTTCATGCAAACTCATACTCCGTATTTATTCACTTGGTGGATTTTTCTTGGTAAACCATTATTTTAACAGAAGAACATTATTTCTTTATGATGTCTTACTATAAGGATCGAGGGCATTGAAATAGGCTTCACCAAAGTAAATTCCAACAAACTTTGTCAATGAAGGTCTTTAGCTTAGAAAGACCTCAGTTTAATTGAGTTTTTAAGTTGACTGAAGTACTCATTTATTGGGATGAAACTATCTAAAAATCAGCCCGTTCTTACGAGAAATCCAAATCAACTAATGAGAAACCACCGAAAATTCAAAAAAAAATAATGGAATGTGCTGGAATATGCGATCAGTTACGTGATTCCATAATTTGCTCTATCTTATTGGTCGCCTCTGCCCAGCAACGTTTTAGTATCAGTTGTGGCGTACTGTTCCCAGAACAACTAAGACCAAGTGATGTATACATTATGAGCACTTTCCTTGAAGTGAACTGCAGTTGTACGCCATTGAATACAACTTTCGCACAGACCTTGTTAGTTTCTGATTTTGGAAGGTCCGCGATTGGACGTTTGAAAGCGTGATTTTGCGAAGTAAAACATTATATATCATTAAAAGTCCTTTGAAGGCACCTTTCAGTGAAACCTAGTCATATTCTCACAGTCAGACCTTAGGTTTCAATTTGCCCGGTGCTACCCAAATAACTACAGCTCTTCATTCTGGGAATGCGCTAATCGTGCACTACCTCAGACAAAGCTATTCCCGTTACTTCATAACCTGTTACTCATGTGACAGTTATTCTGCTCTGACGATCGCTGAATTCCACAGAAGTGATCGTTCAGGAAACGGGCTTATGTACCAGTTTACGGGGTGCTGTACATGTGAATCACATGATCGCGGGGACGATTAGCAGTGACTACAATCAACGATCTTGTAGCTGGAAGTGTTATACGACACAAGACCCTAACACGAAGAAAACGAAATTGAACGGGGCGATAACAGGGTCGTCACAGGTCCTCGGTCAGGGCAACCGGGAAGTAACATGCCCACACAGCCTATGAACACATTCTTCAGACTTCTTTTTGTTCATATGTTGTGGCACGTTAGCCAGTTCTCTGTAGTTGTTTACGTGCAGGCTGCTGCAGTTCAGCCAATTCTGCTAAAGGGCGCAGAAACCTGGTCATTAAGGAAACAGGATAAACAGAGACTGTCTATGTTCGAACACCGCTGTCTACGCAGCATTGCAAGAATATGGTAGGGCAGCCGGACGAGCAATGCTGAGTTTAGGTACAGAGTTTTAGGTAAATGCGGTCGCCCACTGGAGCAAGTGGTCAACTTCCATAGATTACTTTGGTTGGGGCATACGTTACGCACGTCGCCAAATAGGTTTCCACGGCGAACGATGTTCGCCGAGGTAGGTAGTGGGTGGAAGAAAGTCAAGCGGGGTCAAACTAAGACCTGGCACGAGAGTATGAAAACCCTAACCAGGAGTCTGGGGCACATAGGCTCCGTTAGGCTCCCTGGATGGAGACCTCGGGATGATCATACCCGATGGTTAGAGACATTGAGTGACGTGGCTGAGTGTCGTGAACAGTGGCGTTTGTGCATTTTGTCGATTTCTTTGCAAAATTAGTGCAATG